CGTTAAAACGTACCAACATAAAATCTCAATGTTGGCTATAATCCAAGGGTGCAACTACGCCAAAACATTTCCACTTCAAAAATCCTTTAAAAAAAGTATTGGTCTCTAGGAATAGATCGCTACAAAGTAACTGTAATCTACCAATTATCAGCGTCTAGCTAATCATAGAGCTGTTTAACGAATTGATGGAATGGATGACTTGACAAACTAATTGCTTTCTTTTTTTCTTTTTTTTTTTTAACATTTCATAAAAAGAAAAAAAAAAAAAAAAAAAATGAGGAGAAAGCCAATTGATAGCATGCAAAATTGCTTGAAGTAAAATTTGATGGTTGTTTAGAAGTCAAGTAATAATTGCTGGTGGTTCAGATAAAATCCGTGGTTCTTTACCAACACTAAACAATAATACTGTATTTCGTAAATATGGTGATTAAAAATTCATTGCTTTATCTCGAATTTTCAGATTAATTCCTTAACCACAGATTTTTAGTACTTTAATGTAAGAATAAGTGAAGAATAGTTTTTTCCATGGTAATTTAATTTAACTTCATTTTTAGTAATTTAATATTTATAATAATTTTCTTTATTCAGTTCAAATGCTGCTCTGTGTAAATGCATGTTATATACAGTCTATAAAAATTTATTATTCCCTTTCTGAATATAATTTTACACGCTACTGAAGTTATTGGTTTTAGCGAAAAGCCAATTTCTTTCTAATCCAAAGTGCATTTTTAAATGCTACAGTAAGATGATCATATTAACCTTATATAGAAAGGGCCAGGGTTCGAATCCCGGAGAAGGCACTAATAAAATTTGGTGCTTTTTCAGCAGAATTAAATGTATTTGCAATACAATAATTAATAAATGCATTTATTATCTGTTAGTGCATATTTCTCGAAAACTTATCAGACAATTAGCATAATTCAAATATCATTCATATTAACAACCTGCTCATACATGTGATTACACTGGAAATTTGTATTCATCAAAATTTCTCTCCGTATAACTTTCCGTCATTTCATAAGAGGCAAAGTAGCCCACCTATTAAGTGCCTCCATAATAAAGTGACCCCCACTTCTAGCCTTAGTTGTGGTCAAGCTGAAGTAGGCTGAGGGCCCACCATTGGAAAAAAAAAAAAAAACTCTATAAAAATATGTGCGAATATTCCTTTCTTTCTACATCATGTCATCATCTAAGCTCTAATGGCTAATAAAACTATAACAGTTTTCAGAGGAATGCTTCAGATTTTAATTACTGCCCTTATTCTTTGAAATCAAATTCATGGAAACGCTCAGTTATATATACAATAATTGCACATGGAACATCAATTTCTTGCGTACGGCTCACCAACAAATCGAAAGACTTTTCATCATCTTCTAACTGTGAAATACACACATCAGGCAAAGCAATAGAAAATAATTGTTTTAAGAAAAACAAATGTAAAAAAGTCTATTTGTAGAAGATAAGAAGCATATAAACAGTCGGCTGTTAAGTATTTAAAGAATTGAAATAAAAAATTAAAGTACTCCATTAATTTTTATCATGCAATAACATTATCTAACAGGACTTATAGAATCGCAAATACTTAGAATAGATTTTACAACACCATAGTCATTAAGTATGGAGTGCTTTAAAGTATAAATGACTACACTTCGATATTATAACTCGTTAATTAGAAAATAAAAGTCCACCCCCCCCGAAATTGTTGGGTCATAATTCAGGGTGAACAAAGAAAGAAATTTACATAAAAAAGACATATACATTTAAGAAAATTAAAATGAAAAAGAAATTTACAATTTCATGTAGAAGGAAATTTAATGTTCTAGAAATATTTATAGGTTTTTGTTCTCTTGAATTCTGAGAGGAAGAGAATTTGAAAATTTCTACTTATATTAAAAAATAAGTGCTTTGGGAAACCGTAATCACTATTTTAAATTTTGTATGCAGGCATGAAGTACCAGAAATTAAATGAAATATTAAACCTGTTTATTTTCATTATCTTTCTGGCTTTATTGCCCTTTGAAATTTTTCTTTGAACATAATTAGCTTTTAACAATTGTCTTATTATTTTAATACATTTTTTTCTTAATTTAGTTGAAGAATAAAGAAAATGAGATATTTAAAAGTATAAAGAGATATTAAAATTTCCTACCTGTGATTAATACGAAAACAAGTATATTTTTTAAAATTATAAAAGCAAATTGCTTCAGCGTGGAAGTCCCTTAGTCAAATAAATTGATAGAAATGAAATTTTTTTTAAGAAAAAGTTTTAAAGTTTTAAGAAAAGTTGTTTGTTAGCAAATTGTCTTAAACATGTTGATACGAGAGCAGAGAGAGGGATTTAGCAGATTTACTGAAATTCTGATAATATACTGGTAACCCCCTTTTTCAGGAATAGAGTATCTTGGATTCGCATTTTCAGTATATTCAATAACACTATAACAACAGAACATGAAAGATACCTTTTAAAAGCTTTTAAATATACTGCATTGTTTATTTCTCGTAAGTGGAAAAAAAGTCACGAGAAAGCTTAAGTTTAAAAATTAGTGATTTCAAATTTCTTTTATAACATTATTGAAATTAAAACGTTTCTATTATAGCTACAAAATTATGGATTTAAATAGCATTAGTTAATCACTGTTTATAACGTGTTTCTGATACCGACATAAGTTAAATTTTTGAGCAATAACTTTTACGAACAGCAAGTCATAGTCTCACATATTTGTAAGACGTCTTATCACAACACAACCATTTGGAAATAATCTTAAGTAATCATAAACGAAAACGAAAGATTCAACAAAAAAATGCAGAAAAGTTAGTTTGTTTTGATGATGAAAGTTATCACAATTTAAGGCAATTTTCTTTTTCATCAACTCGATTGCATTGTTTATAATATACTATTTTGATCTTCAATCTCCTAAAAAGTGTCCCGATCAAAATCTGTGCAAATCACTTTTATTGCAAGCTACATATAATAAATTAAACACTATAGGAGATTATTTTTAGGGTTGGATTTATTTGCATAAATACAGACCCTCATACACGTATATATCTGCATGTGTTTACATACTTATGCATAGGATTAAGAGGCTAAAAGTTATATATACATATGTAACTTATACAAAAGGTAATTAAAATATCTAGGCAAAAAGATCTGCTAAAATCAACTGATTAATTTATCATTCGTTCATAAACTTTATTGCTCTATGAAGAAAACATTACCGCATTAATTACAAATATTTTCCTGAATAACAATTTGTAATAGCTTTTTGCTCTCTCTCTCTTTTTTCAAATGTTTTACTGGTATTTATTTATGTTAGAAATACTTTCATTTTAGTTTCAAGAACATTTGTGGAAAGAAGATATTTAAATTGTTCATATTTAAAATTTTTTTACCTTATATTGCAGTTCCATGGGTTTTAGTTTAAAGATTTTTTTTTTTTTTTATTTTGTTTTTAGCAGAGTTTTAAACAAGGCTAAAAACATAATTTTTAAATGAAATGTTGAACTGTGTTGATATAAGCTTAATGACTTTTTAAAAGCATTGGAAAAGTTTATGAAATACATAACTAATATAAATTTTAAATTACAGTTGCTTTTTCTAGCATTCTTCCTTACATACTATAAACTAAAACTATTTTAATTTTAGCTAAACTAATATTATTAAATGTGCATAGATTTAAACTAATTTTTTACACTGTATTTGAATTCCATTACTTTAGATTTTCTACTCAATGGGTTTCTGCTTATTTATCGTTCATAAAATTTCTCTGATAAAATTTAATTTTAGAATTTTTAAATTGCATATATGCAGTAACTCATATTCAAATTAAAGACTTATTTTGACAAGAGCTAAATGTAGTTTAGTTTGCGGTGTTAGTTGTAAAATTATAATAAAATATTAAAGAGAACTACTATGTGGTTCATATATTTTATTATTAATTGCACAGCTGAATAGAAGAAACTCATGCTTCGCAATTCATGATCAGCAACAGTACATCTCTGAAAACAACTCTAATTCTGAAGTAAACCTGTTGTTTTCATGCTAATATCCTAATTATCTTTTCAAAATGCGTAATTTAAGATAATCGTGGGAAACAGAATAAGTGAAAGAATATCAGGAAGAATGAATATAAAATGCAAAAACTGCAGGAAAATTTAGTGTTTCCTGTCAAATTCTTTGTTGATTGAAGTGAATTAAACAGCTTTATTTAGTCTTAAAAAGTAGATAATGCTGCAAAAAAATAATTAATATATTGTAAACTAAATATTATTTTTGTTCAAGTATACGATTTTAGTACATAACAGAGATAAATTCATAAATAAGTCTATAATCCCATAATTCATAGTAAAAAATTGATCAAATTCATTTTGCTAAATACATTTTTTATTTCAAACATGAAAACATGCCCAAATGAATTCTAAGCTGACTTTAGTATATTCGCCAATTTCTTAATCCAGTCACGTTCAATAAACCTCGATTTATTTTATTTTGAAATGCGAACTGCACTTATTGGCAAATAAAGAATATAATGGGATATAATAAGTCTAATGTTCGTTCCTAATTTGGTTTGCTTCGTTTTAGCTATTTTTAAAATGTATTATTTTGTACATTAATCGACTATTTAATGTTATGAACGAAAAGATGTACCGTGTGTTTCACTGATGACAGCTAAAAAATTCGAAAGAAATTTAACACTGAAAACTAATGTTACGTATATGAGTGGCCACATTAAAAAAAAAAAAAAAAAAAAAAAAAAAGTATCTTTCATTTATAGCCTTCCGTTTTCCTTTTTGACATATCTTTACCTATGTTTTATTAACTCGTGCTTGAATCGAAATTCTACCAATTTTGGCATGTGCGTTCGAAAAGTATTAAATTAAAATTGGTTCGCTTTTCCTTTGACATTTTACACTAGTTTAGTTCACATTCTAAGAGCGTAAAAGTAAGGGATGGTAAGAGCAAAGAATGAAATAAAGAAAAAAGAGAGAGAGCACTGTACCTGTTTGCGGCTTGGAGGGAGGTGGGGGTTCGGGTCCTTTGGAAAGTTGTTGCCACCCCTCAGCGGCGAAAAAGGGGGCGCCACTGGGACCAGCGGGCAGGCACTCTATAGTGCGTGCATGCGAGCGGCACCACACAAGCAATGGTCTAGTAGCTGTGGTCGGTGCTTGGAAGCGGACTCTGTCTTTGGTGCCTAAATAGTAAAGGAAGGTTCTTTGGGTTTGGGCACGTTTTTCAGGTGTTAGCGAGTGCACGCCATATTGTAGCGCAATGTGTCCCCTATCATCGATCATCCTGGCGTATGCTCTCCGGGTCATCGAGGCGGCGCGCGGTTGGCGGGCGCCCGTCACGTGATATGCTAATGTTCTTCGACGGGCGGAGTCAGCGCTCAGTTAAACGACAACCCCAAAGAAAAATTATTTCCATCCAATTCATCCAAAAATTAATGATCATGAGTTCGTATTTGATGAACTCTCCCGCTTATACTGATCCCAAATTTCCACCGAATGAGGAGTACTCTCAAGGGAATTACATTCCTAGCCACGGTGGGGATTACTACACGCCGTCGCATCACCACCACCATCATCCACACCATCAACAACATCCACACCATCAACATCACCCGCCACCACCGAGTCATCACCAACATCCCCAGCAACATCATCACCATCACCCATATGCCGGTTATCCACTATCGGGGCCCGTTGCTTACGGACAGGAAAATGGGAGTCCCGTATATGGATCGCCGACGGCGGGACAGCATTATTACCGACCACCACCTCCACCGCCCTGCGGAATGGGGCCCGTGTCGCCCTTGCCCCGCACGCCCACCTTGCCTGTCGATCACGTCCCCGCGACTAGCCTCAGCCCCGTGCCCCCGACGGGCCCTTCTCAGCAGCAGCCGTCGCAGCAGCAACGGTCGCCGGTATCTTCGCCGACGC